TCGTTCATTGCTTATGTTCGCCCTGTCCGGGAATCAAACCCAGGTCCTTTCGCTTGTGAGGGAGTGCTCTAACCACTGAGCTACACGACTCAATGATTGACTAACTCAGACTTGCTGTGTATCCTCCACTTTACCAGTTCCACCATCAATGGCTGAGTTTCGAAATTCTACACCCCTAAAATCTGGAAATCCCTCCCTTGACCTCTCCCCCTCTTTATCTGTCTTCAAGTCCTAGCTTAGAGCCTACCTCTTTGACTGTGGTCACTCCCTTCCCCTCTATCCCTTTCACTCAGCCCTGACTCAGGGACCACCCGACCATTGTAAAGCACTCTTATAACCTTATTCAGCATGAAGAGTACTATATAAATACAAGTTGTTATTGTTGTAAGGTCTGCCCCTCGCTCTCTAGCTTTCTGTATTTTATCAATACCACAGTGGTGATCATCGCTACTTGGAATTTTTCTGTTTTTTCCCAAGCAATAAAATTTCTTTCCTGCATTCTCAGACACACCCTTCTCTTCTACAACAACAACTTAGTTTATGTAGCGTCCTTCACGTGGAGCAGCATCTTGGAGCACTTCTGAAGCCTTTTAAAATCCCAATTTTCTATCATCTAAACTATTTACAGATTGATTACTCCCTCTTTGCCACCAATTCGGTTTTGGACCTTCATCCTTCAGTTTTTCAAGAGAATGAAGTACTGCCCTGATCTGTGAGCCATCCTCCTGAGCTGCCTGACAATGTAAAGCTCCTGAGAAGGGACTACAGAGCTAGCACGGAGAACAAAGGCAGGAAGTACACTGAAGCTTCAATACAAATCCAGAGATCTCTTCTGAGCAGAATAAGATTTCCCTGAAAGGGAATGTTGACTAGGATATATTTCCTATGCATATGAAACACTTTACACCCATTCAAACCAGACATTCTGTCCCTTAAACAAAAACAAGCATACATGTTCCCCTGCACTTCCTCCATCTTTCCCTGCCAATACACTTGACTGAATAGAGTAAAAGGAGCCTGCTACGTCCACAAGCAGCAAGCTCCTGGCCTTTGTGCTCAGTGAGGCACAAGATGGAGAAATCTCTCACGCCCATAGTTATTCTCTTCCATCTTCAGTCCTGTCACCCCTGCCAGCTTGTTGAATGCTGAACAGTGACAGGGGGTGTTCCGCTATGTCATTAAGCCTATAAAATCACTGGTTTGCTTCACTGTGATCAAAAGGATGGCTCCAGCACTGGTGCAAGATTGAGCTCTGATGCTACTAACCCTGCTTAGAGCCGTGCAGAAGGAGCCTTCTCTAATCAAACTCCAGCACCAGTGTCAACCTCCTTTGTTGTCAAAATCAGGCTGGATTTTCAAACGCTCAGCTATTGAACTTTCACACAGCTCCCAGCATATTCCGGCTGCTGGTATTATCCAGTAACTGAGTCCGATACTGGTGGGAGCTCCAAAGGCAACAGCTGCCAGTGTTGTTTGCAAGCCAAAAATATGAACACTGAGGCTGAGAACATGCCCCGTCAGCCTGCCAAACAAACAGGACTTGCCAAAGGGGAATTTTAACCCTGTGGTATAGCATTCCTATGCTGAAGTAACCAGTCACCAATCAGTGTCGTCTACAACAGCTGACATTCACTGTCAGACTTGCATATGAATAATGACCAAGGTATTGAAGGGTGCCTGTGAAACCATACCCCAGTAGAAGGCAAAAAATAAGTCAAATATTTTCCAAGGTAAGAAACCTGGAGGAAAAAAAAGCACAAATGTTATTTATAGTGAAAACTGACTCTTCGATGAGAAAATGAGAAAGCTGTGCACGCCTGTAGCTCAATCAGGGAGTGGGGAGTGGGAGAGCCACTGTGTATTGATGACTCTCAATGAGAAGGGTTAATCCTCTTCCTGAGATGATTTTTAACAGCTTTTCCTTTCAACGGCCATTTCTACCAAATAGAAATGTGCATGCGATGCTCCTGCAGTTGGACCTGCACTTAAAACCGCCGTGGTTGGAGTCGGGTAAGAATCAAGATGGAAATATATTCATCACCCACTTTTAAAGAGGGTTGTCTCTCTCCAATTTACTGCAGCCTTTGCATAGAAGTATTTCTAAGAAAAAAGCTCAACAAAGGAAACCCTTCTAGGGCTAGCAGTTCTGATCTCACGGTCGCCCTTCCCCAGCCTTTCAAAGCACAAGTTAATTCTGTGAGATATAAAGGATTAAGGAAGATAGGGCAGCACAGTGGGTTCACATTCTGACATTTCGCCTCCGAGGTTCTCAGTTTAAATCCAGCCAGACTGAGGGGATGAAGTGCGCCTCTATCTGCTTGCTATAAGAGTCCTCTGTGAAAGGAGGTTGGGCTGTCTTAACCCAGAAAAAACTGCTTTAATTCAACAGTAATTGAAAATTCAAAGGGTCCAGAGGATGTGGATAGTGGAAACATCAGACCTAACCCTCACCCTAATCAGTATTTAACCTGCTGCTATACATACGTAACATGTAGCTGTGTTGTAGCTGGGAGTACTACATAGGACGGTACAGAGGGCGTTTTACTCTGCATCTAACCCATGCTGTATCTGACCTGGGAGTGAGCAGACAGTGCAGGAAGCTTTACTCTGTACCTAAGTTGTGCTGTGCCTGACTTGATAGTGCTGGACGGACAGTGTAGATGGAGCTTTCCTCTATATCTCTCTTGTGTTATACCTGACTTGGGAGTACTGGATGGCACAGTGTAGCGGAGGCACGGTATCTGACCCATTGTCGATGCACTCAAACTGTCCCCCTAATTGAAATCAGTGTAGACTTACAACAACAAGATTACAATTGTATAGCGCCTTTCAAGTCCTAAGGAGCTGGACAGTGTACAGCATTTCAGACCCGAGTTGGGGTCAGGGAGGGAGAAAGGAGGGGAGGCGAAGAGGGGTGGCCGATGGAATGGTCGAAGAAGAGGGTTTTGAGGTGGGACTTGAAGGAGGTTAAGGAGGGGGCGAGGCGGAGTGATTGGGGGATGAAATTCCAGAGGTTGGGGGCAGAGTGGCTGAAGACTCTCCCGCCAATGGTGGGGTGGATGGGTCAGGGGATGTGGAGCAGGCTGGAGCCGGCTGAGCAGAGGGAATGGGCGGGTTGGTAAGGGGTTATTAGGAGGTCGCAGAGGTAGAGTGGGGCGAGACCATTGAGGGCTTTGTAGGTGAGGACCAGGATCTTGAATTGGATCCTCTGAGCCAATGGAGTCGGGCGAGAATGGGGGAGATGGGGTCACGGAGTTTGGTGCGGGAGAGGACATGGGCTGCAGAGTTCTGGATTATCTACAGCCTGTGGAGGGAAGAGTTGGGAAGGCCGACGCAGGGCATTTTCATAGTCGAGCCTGGAGGTGATGAAGGCATGAACAAAAGTTCAGTGGCCTGAGGGGTGAGGTAATGGCTGAGTCGGGCGATGTTATGGAGGTGAGGGAAGGCAGAGCAGGTCATGGCTTGGATGTGGGGAAGAAAAGACAGTTGCGGGTCGAACAAGACACCTAGGTTCCTGACTGGCTTGGTGAATTGTAGTGTGCAACCATGGAGGCGCGACCCAATCAGGAGGGCCTCAGTTTTGTTCAGTCCTGTTCACATTGAACTACAGGAAATTTGCCCTCATCCAGGACTTGATGTCCGACAGACACTCTGTCAACACAGCAGTGGTCCTGGAGTTGAGGGTGGAGGCAGAAAGATAGAGTTGGGTGTCATCCGCTTACATATGGAAGTTGACCCCATGTCTGCGGATGAGGTCACCAGGGGGAGCATGTAGATATTAAAGAGGAGAGGGCCAAGGGCAGAGCCCTGGGGGATGCCAGACGTGACAGTGAAGGGGCCAATGGTTCTGAAACATGTACAGCCTAAAAGTCAGTCTATGTAACAGACACGGATTACAAACATTAATTTTACTAAACTGAAGCTTTACATCTCAGATTGTGACCTTTACAGGATAACAACCTAATTCAATAATCAACAACAACAACAAATTACATTTGCATAGAGCCTTTCATGTCTGGAGGACGTCCTAAGATAGTCAAAGATTTATACCCGAGCTGGGTTTGGGATCAGGAGGGGTAGGGAGGATGAGGGTAGGAGGGTGATCCAAAGTAATGATCGAAGAGGAGGTTCTTGAGACGGACTGTGAAGAAGGCAAGGGAGGGAGCAAGGCAAAGGGACTATCCTGCAAAGCAGCACCTGAAGGGCTGCTCAGGCTTAGTGCCCACGCTAAGCTCACAGCCTATATGACTCAAATCCTATATAGCTCACAGCAATTCCAGCTGGTGATGTATCCAGAAGTAGCCAAGCAGGTGATGGTTTTAAAACACATTTTAATCCTCTTCCTTAATTAAGATTAATCCATTTGAGTAATATTGAATACATTTAAATACATTACCCAATAATAATTTTGACCCCAGAGAATCATAGATCCCTAGAAATACCAGAACAAAAGGAAGCCATTCAGCCCATTAATCTTTTGCTGCTACAAGAACAACAAATGGCATGAGGATAGCTGTCAACAAGGCATGAGGATAGCTGTCACTGGGAATCATGTTGCCCAACAACATTGGGAACATGGTTCCCAATGACAGCTATTCTCATGCCTTATTGGAACCTCAGACTCACATCATCCCATAAACTGCATTACACAATCACACTCATGGATCCAAAGATTTATTTGGATGAGGAAGACCCTTCGGCCCATTTTTTTTAATTCTTCCAGAATACCCACTCAACCATTTTCCCATCACAACATCTTAATGTAGAATATATTGAGCAGTGTTATAACCAATTGTGATGTTGAGTATATTACCAGTTTACTGGTAATAATGCTGCCTCAAGTACCGTACAGCATAAGGAACAAATTATCTGATGACACTGCTGCGCACAATAAGGAGCATATACCGCATTGCTCATGATAACACAGCCCCATGTACAGCACTGAATAAGAAGTGCATTATATTTTGCTGCTATATGAAATGTTAAAGGTGCCTTCCTACCTTGCAGAACCAGCCCCGCTTTCTGAATGGTGAAGACAAATGCAGCAAATGGGGCGAGTGGAGATTTGGCAACAATCACCTAGAAGAGGGCACACAGCTTACCTTAATTTGACATTGTGAGGTGTCTGGATTTATAACATTCACCATCAGGAATTTACAGAAAACATTTGTGCAAAGGCACCTTTCACAGCAGATCTGCATATTTGCAAATTCTGAGGTGTCAGCTGATTAATCTTCAAAGGATTGAATCGAATTGTTAAAGTCACAAATAAGCAAGCTGTCGTGGACTGCAGTCCCATTGTTGTTGTCTAATTACATTTATATGCCTAAGTAATGTGGAATTGTCATGCTCACTGAGGTGAGGGACTCAGTGCTGAGGAACCTTTCCACCATAGCCATTCAGTGCCATTTTGAGCCTTTCAGGTAAGGTGGAGTAAGTAAAAAAAATTCCTCTATAATACCCAATTGCAGGCACTCCTGAATCATAAATAATTACATCACACAAAACAACTGTTCAGCCCATCAAATTTAAGGCAGAATTTTTCTCCACCTGACCCACCTAGCCGTATTGTGCTCACTGCCCATGCCTTTAACTTTCCTCCTTTCCAAGCACATTTCTAACTCCTTTTTAAAACAACTCAGGGACTCTGGGATTTCATAATCTAAATGTGTAAAGGATTTTTTTAAATGAAAAAATGGCATACATCTCTGCATGCCTTTCTGCTCCTGGTCTAGCTTCCTCTTGCAGGGTGCAGTTCCAATACCCTGCCCAACTAGTCGTTGTTCATGTGTGAGCCTGGGCAGTGTCAGCAGGCCTCCCAACTATAGAAGGTGTCACACTCAACAGTACCAGTGTTGGAGAGGGACAAAGAGTGATGCATCTGAGAGTCACATTGTGTTAGAGGCATGCATTAAGTTCACTAAAAGGCAGGAAACCAGGCAGATGAAAATAAAATGATGTGTACAAAGCATAATTGACACCACAAGCAAATCCTCAAACAAATGTAGACATTTCTTATAATATTTGTACCCCAGGGATAACTAAAGATTCTGTGCTTAGATGACAGGGAGATACTTTAAATACCATCCTGTTAATGCATCTCAATATGTGGTTACACTCTGCAAAATAGGCAGAGACATGTATTTGCCAAAGCATTCATAAATCAAGGGCAGGTGGGTGGACGGTGAATGAATCAAACAATGAACCACAGGAAGTGTCTGTCAAATAAGAGTGATTTAATAGTACCGGTTTGTTTTGATTAGTTTGCTGAAATTTTTTTATGTTATACTGTTAGCAGAGCTGCTGAGGTGTCACTTGCTTTCATGAGTGCTGAACAAAACTAGAAGTATGTTAAGACGACATGGACATAACAAACTCATGTGACAAAATACTTCTAAAGAGAAATTCCATAGTAAAAGCTACCCAGTGAGAGCATTGCCACAGGTGGGATAGCACTGCCCGGACTAAAGACTGAAGCTGGAATTGTAAAACACATCGCATCACCCAGAGCATTTACCCATCATTTATCTCACTCCAATCCCATTCTCCACTCAAGAGACAAAGCATCAGCCACCCACTTCTCAAAATAAGCTTTTCTTTTCCAGGGTCAGAAAGGCAAGCTGCACATTTATTTCTCTGAAGGTCATGGCGACATCCAGTTCCCACACACACAACAGAGGAAGGATTAGCTGCTTGGCTCACAGCGCTCAAAATATCCTGGCCCCCCACAGGTACAAACCCACTGATGCTTTGAAAGAATAAGATGCACAAAGTGTGCGCTTCCTCTGGGCTGCTCAGACACCATCGCATTAAAAAGGTTAGGTAGGAATTCTACTTAATAAATGTCCAATGGGGAGCAAAGACCACAGGGAAAGCATCATCAAAGAGGCAGAATCTCAGTTATAAATGGGGACACATAATCCTAGGGATATCATCTGAACACTTTCTGACATATCTTTCCCTTCTCGTGTTCCTGTCCTTCAGTTTTTAAAGGTTCAATGTTGCTCCTTAAGTGGTTAGTTCCTTTTTCTGCCTTGAGAAACAAGGAGATAGGAAGGATGACTCTATCCTTACTCACCTGCCTGCGGTGGTAGTCCAAGTACTGCATGATAAGCCTGGTGTTTACACTGTGGCTCCATGTATTCCCCAGAGCCGCTGTTGTATAGCCAGAATGTTCATCAAGATTCACGCCAGAGTCTGGAACAAAAACACAGACAGCAAAGAAAGAAAGCTGACACAGTCTTCATGTTTTTCAAAGAAGTATATTTTTATTCTGCAGTATATTTTAATATCACGTCTTAAAGTTCCTGGAAAACTTCCCCAATGGCGAGTGGGTAAAGGCACCACCCAGTGCAATGCCAGGCCATGGATAATAATAATAATGATAATCCTTGCATTTGATATAGCGCTTTTCATGTCTTCTAGACGGCTCAAAGTGAATTGACTGTATTTTTTTGTGTGGGCGAAATGCGGCAGCCAATGGAGACCAGAAAGTCCCAGATTTGAATTCCAGTCCGCTGACTTAGCTGATCTGTAAGGGCTACAGTTGACCTCAGCGTTTGTGGGTTATAGAGGACAAAAAAATTAGAAAATTCACTTCTGATCGCTGTCTAGAGATGTGCTACTGAAGTTGTGGATATGGACACCAGGTGGGGATTGGGTCAGGTTTGGCTGTAATGTTCCCCATGGTCAGTTGGATGTTAAAAATCCAAAGGTACTATTCAAAAAGAGTTTTATCGTGGTTTCCTGGTCAACAATTCCCCAAATAAAATTGATCATTCACTTCATGGCTGTTTGTTGGTCATTGCTGTCTGCAATTGGCCGTGTTTGCCCACAAAACACACAATAACTCCATTACATTCTACTTTGCGGTATTTTGAGATGTCCTCCCAACATCAAAGGTGCTATACCAGCTGTAAGGATTAATAATAATATTATTATACCATAATTATTATTATTATGATTCGCTCTTGTCAACCTGTGTCTAATACAGGTTGGCAAGAGCCAACTCTCTTATAATTATAACAATAATTATATTTATTATTATGATTATGAATTATTATCATAATTATTAGCTGTAAGAATTTGTATTATTATGGTGAAATAGTGTGCCCACGCTCATCGTGAAGCCTTACACATGATTAATGACCATTTAGGCGAGGTATAGCAGGAGACCTATGGAACTGTACCGCAGTGGAAGAAATCGGATGCCTCCGAAAAGAAAGAGAACTGAAGGAGAAGAATTGATGGGATATTTACTCTCTGTTTACAAATATGACTGAGCATCGAGTGCAGTTGGTTCAGTTTAAATTTATTCTACACTTGTCTGTCTGTTGGCTATAAGGATCCTATTGAAATGATTTTGGGATAGTCCAAAATTGGCCTCTCTTTTCATTACAGATTATACAGTGCGTTACTGGTGTGAAGCCAGTATTAGATATCCCAGTCATCTGATTTGTAGTATCAAACACATTGTGGAGTCCTATATCTCAGTGGTTAGAACACTCGCATCACAAATGAGGACCTGGGTTTGATTCACGGGAGGGCAAAACTTTGGGCAAGTTTCCTTACTCCACACGCCTCTGTTTACCGAGCAGAAAGTAGGAACCCAGTTGTTAGTCGATTGGCAGATCGCTTTTCCGGGGGTAGTAATTCCTTCAAAAAAATATATAAATTGCTCACTCAATCCATGACTGTTTGTTGGACACTCCTGTGCGCAATTGGCTGCCGCGTTTCTCCCACAAAATATACAGTCAATTCACTTTACAGTATGTTCTGTGAAGCGTTTTGAGACGTGTTGAAGACATGATAAGGCGCTATATCAAATGCAAACATTATTATTATCATCAGTCTGTTTGACAGTGAACAGTTTGTCAGTTTAGTTAGTAAACACATTTCTGGAACTCAAATACATGGTGGCATTCCAATTTCAAAATATCCAAAAATGTACAATCTTTTGTGATAATGTGGACCTGTGATTCATGTACAAATATACACTGATATAATAACAAACTGTCAGAGAGGTAACTGATGGTTCATGTAAAGAAGAGTGGAAAATAACTAAACTCAGCTCATCAAAGTCCAGCTGGTAAGATTGGTTCAAGCAAGATTAATAATCATGTAAATAAAATTGGACAAATCATAGAAACAAGGCATAACTGAAATGAAATGTCACAAACAATAAACAAAACATAACAGATGAATGAATAGTCAATAAATATTATTAAAAAGGGAACAGCACGGGGATCATGACAAGTGCTATTTCTAGGTTTATTCCAACATTTCGTGGTCAGGGGGTAAGAGCCGTGTGATCACTGATAATAATCATTAATTGGTTGTGAATGGGCAGTGTGGGGTTGAGGATTGGCTGATATCAATGGATTGTATATGTCATAGGTTGGAAAGTTGGGGACTGTGGGCATGCACACCCTCTCTCTTCCCTCATACACTCCCTCCCTCTCTCTCAATCCTTCCCTCATCTCTCACACACACTCTCTCCCCTCTCTTAATCACTCTCTCCTCCCGCTCTCTCAATCACTCTTCACTCTCTCCTTCTTTCACACACTCTCTCTCAATCACACTCTCTCTCCCCACCCCCCCTCTCTCAATCACTATCTCTCCCCCTCGCTCTCTTTCTCTCAATCAGCTGCTCCTCTGGCAGTAGGAACTCCACTCTCCCAGTTGCATGACAGACTGCAGCATTATTTCCAATCCCCGCGCTGCGTCCTCCCAACCGCTGGATCCTGCCGCTGCCTTGAGAGGACAGTTCGCTGGAGAGGAACAGTGCGGCCAGCCCGAAGTTGGAAATGGCTCTCGGGCTGCCTGAAATCATCCGCCGGGCCAAATGCGGCCCACGGGCTGCCTGTTGAACCGTCATGGCCTTGACAATAATGTTGCCACGGTGTACTATGCCATGATGTACTAATGCTACTACTGGGTGGTGATGTGAGTCTCTCTCAAGAAGCACAAATTAAGATATGGCTGGCTGAATTTTGTCAGTGGTGTGACATGTCCACTGCGGAAGCTTCCTGTTTGATATTAACCAAGCATGTAGCAGTTGCCCTCCCCACCCCCACTAAGATGATTTCAACGGTCATGGTGCTTCTCCAAAACATCTCAACACACCCTGATTTAAATAACCACATCCTACCGCATTGACCTTGGGGAATCCACAGAGCCACCTTTTTATACACCCTGTCTCAAGCACCTTCAGTTTCCAATACCCACCCCTCCCTCTCATTTGATCCTCTATTATTAACTTATTGACAAGTATATTTCCACAGCACATCCGGCCCAAATGCAATCTCAGAGCATTCTGTTTCGACCGAGACTTCCTCTTTGTTCCATGAGGTAATTGTGGAATAAAACTAATAATTCTCCTTGTCTATTTGCCATTATTTACCTAAAAATATTTTATATTAAATACAAGTTAATTTGTTTATTTCAGATCCTAACTTTTTGAATTGAGTCACTGATTTACACCCTGCTTGCCTTATGATTCAAGGATGCCTGCTATTTTAAAGAAAAGTATTTACCTTGTTACCTTGTTTTTTACCCCCTCTTCATTCAAATCCCCCACCCTCACACCACTATTGCTATAGAAGAACCCCACTATAACTCACCGCTTTGGGTTCTAAACAGGATATTATAACAGGTCAGAAATGCAAAATGGCCATCGGCATCACTTTCTGCCCACACAAAGGCTGATTTTCTACACTAACAAATGACCAATTTCTAGATAGTCAGGTGACTGCTGTGTTCACTTTTGAGCACGAGGGCTATCTGTAAGTCAAAATCATCAGGACATCCACCTCAGCTTGATAATGATTCAAGCTGGCATTGGTGGAACAGAAGGGATATCCTGAGCGTAGGATAGCAGGGGATAGGGTGGTGCATCCATGGAGACATTTGAAAGCGAGGATCAGGATCTTAAAAGTTGATCCACTGGGGGGAATAAAGAGCCAATGGAGGATGGAGGTGATGGGTTTGTGGAGCCTGATATGGCAGAAGATACAAGCTGTGGAGTTCTGTATGGTCTGGAGTTCATGGAGGGTGAAGCTGGAGAGCCTGGAGAACAGAGTTTCAGATCCAAACTTAACTTTTTTTTTTTGATTGACACCTCCTGGACCCACCACTAATTGGTCCCCTTCCCAAAAAGGGAACTGGAATGAGAGGCACTCAGCCAGAGGAGAAGCGCTGCAGGACACTACCCCACATGAAGGGCTTCATATAAGCAAGTCCTTGTTTTTGCTAAGCGGGAAGAGAAGAACTTTGGTTACCGGACTGCGGGTAAATCGGACAAAACTCACTGCCCCGTTGCATCTGGCTAAAGTGGATTCCACCGCATCAAATGCAGGTTTTGCTGATGAATGCAATCAGTAAATACAATTTCACAATAATGTAGCAATTTGAGCTGCCAATCAACAATGTCAATTGAGGTTTTCTTTCACTTCTGAGGATGAGCTTGCACCATTCATTCCCAACTTGCTTGAGATCTACAAACTGTGAGGTACATTTCTTTTAAACATGTTCTACACTAACTGCGGCACCATAAAGTCTTCTGGTTTTACTCTTGTTGCCAATCTGCCCATTGATTCCCCAATCGCACCATTAGATAGTATTACAGGTGAATTTTGGAACTGAAGCCCATTTGCCTCTTCGAGCCCACTCCGCCACACAGAGTTTCTGTGGCATTCCATGAACTCTAATCCCATTTCTCTGCCTTCTTGTCCCACCTTTCAATATGATTCCTTCCCGAATCTCTATCCATCTATCACTAAACTATTCTAGGGAGTGGATTCCAAAATTCCACAAAGGGACTTTGAACTCATGGTCGAGGGAGGCTGACACTCCAGTGGAGTGCTGGGGGTGTGCTGCATAGTTGGAGTGCAGCTTCATTAAAATGGGGCCCGTCTGCCTGTTCAGGTGGACATTAAAGATTCCATGACATTCCCTCAAAAAGGGATTTTCTCCAGGTGTCGTGGCCAACAATCCCCTGGATAAAATTGGTTATTCATAAAGGTTTGTGGGACATTGCTGTACTCATATTTTGGTTGCTTCAATGGCCTACAAATGCACAGTCACTACATTTCCTGTCAAGTGAAGACTTCAAAGCAGCGTAATAGGCACTATATCACATACAAGGAGTATTATTATTGTTACCAACTGTGCAGAACCCAAACCCAAGAGTGACTTGA